TCGTCCAGAGGCATTGGGAGCAGCAGCAAACCAACTGGCAGGACCTTTAGCTCAGTTTTTCCAGCACTGCTTAGACCAGAACCAAGTTCCCGCCATGTGGAAGCTTGGAATAATAAGCCCGATTCACAAAGGTGGAAGCAGAACTGATCCCTCCAACTACCGCCCAGTAACCCTTCTTCCTATACTCTCCAAGGTCATGGAATCCATAGTTGCCGATGCACTGGTGTGCTATCTGGAAAACTGCAACCTCATCACTCCTGAACAGCACGGTTTCCGTCGACAGCGGTCATGTACAACTAATTTACTAATTGCACGCAGTAGTTGGACCGAGGCAGCCGACGCTGGAGAAGGTGTTAATGTGATCTACCTGGATTTTTCCAAGGCTTTCGATCGTCTAGACCATCGGATACTACTATCCAAGCTGCAGCATTACGGGATCGGAGACCCTCTTTTAAGCTGCATCGCCAGCTTTCTATTTCAACGGCAATTAGTGGTCAGAGTTCGGAGCTCTTTATCGGACCCCATACAAGTCGAGTGTGGTGTGTCTCAAGGCTCGGTTCTAGGTCCACGTTTGTTTTTGGTGTTTATTAATGACCTTGCACAGGGAATCGCTTCAAACTTCCTAATGTTTGCCGACGATATCAAGATCTGGCGCAGGATCCAGGCGAACACCGACCAACATGTGCTTCAGAGTGATTTAGATACGGTGTATCAATGGTTGACCCAAAACTTATTGCATTTCAACGTCAATAAATGCAAGGTGCTTTCCATCCGACATCAAAGCAGCTACTCATACCGACTCGGAACGGATGTACTGCAACAATCAACTCTCGAACGTGACTTGGGTGTCCTGGTTCAAGATGACCTGGGTTGCTCCAGGCAATCCGAAAGGGCCTCGAAGACCGGAAACCAACACGTCGGGCTGCTGAGGCGGGCGTTTGGACAAATAAACAGCTCCATATTTCGACAAATGCTCAGTGCGTATGTTCGCCCCCATGTCGAATATGCAATTCAAGCCTGGCATCCATGGCTGAAACACGACCTTAATGCACTGGAGCAGCCACAACGCCGGGCATCTAAGAACGTAATTGGAATGCGCAATCGTTCCTACCAGGAGAGTCTGCGACGACTGGGATTGTTCAGTGGAAGCTATCGCAGACTACGAGGTGACCTGATTATGGCGTACTTGATTCTGCGAGATCCACATCATGTGTGCCGCCCTTTACTGCAACTCAGCAGCAATACAAACCTGAGGGGCCACTCATTAAAACTCGCAGAACAGTACAGTCGTCTGGAGTGCCGCAGAAAGATTTTTTTCATTCGTGTCTGTCACCCGTGAAATGCTCTCCCAGAATCGGTCGTCTCTGCACCGACACTAACAGTATTTAAAAGACGGTTGGACGATGCACTCATCCACTTACACTTTGTTACTTAACACTACGTCTCCATCCTACACCTGGAGTTTACCATGGAATTATTTGTTGTTAACTGTGGATGCTGTGAATCTAAGAGGATCGCAGGACTGCAGCGAAGCAAACGATAAGTCCTTATTTTCATATTTAAAGTATTAACTATTTTACTATCCTTATCGTCATTATTGTTATGTTGATATCCCCTGCAACTATCCAACGGGACTTGTAAAGCAACGCTTCTGAACCCGTATAAATTCATTGTTCATTGAGACTAACATGCAAAAGTGCATGAAAAATTTCGGTTCTGCTTTTAAGGAAACTGGAAAGGGATAGATTGCAGATTTCCCCGAACCTCAACCTGCAGCTGATGTGTTACACAAATATTTAGTCTTGTATCTAGATATGTTCTGCCCGATGCCTTATAGGCGTACTTCCAAGGTTATGAGTCAGAACACCATCCCGTTGTAACTAACACGGAAGCTAAAGCAGCTAAGGTATAGACATAAAAAGACTAAAAAGTTTAGTTTTGTTAATTCAGCAAAATCAAATAATGTCATCCTTAGAAAGAAATCGGTCCTCAAAACCTCGCAGGGGTGAAACCAATGCTGTAGCCTCTTGCATCAAACCAAGGGAAATGCGTTGATTATTCAAGCTCAGGATCAACTTCAAGCATGATGTACCATCTCCTAATATATTGCCTGACAGCAGCCTTTCTGAAAATCGGGCTCAGATGTGGGAGGTCTACAATAAATATTCTACCTCGTTTTTCACAGCGCTGTGCATAGTACCGATGGCAAACATCACTGTTAAAACTGCAGTTTGCACCAGTACTATTGGATTTGAGCAACCTGACATAAGAACTCTAATAAGGTCAATGCGATCGAACTTTTATCTCGGCCCAAATAGAATTCTGTCTGTTGTGCTCCAATTCGGGAGCCCTGATGTCCCCATATTGCTCTAAAATATTTTTAGTTTATCCATGAAATCTGGGGCTGTTTCAGAGGTGTAAAAATATGCCGTGGTTACACCAAGAAATAACAGTGGCAGACATCAAATACAGACGAGCTATCGGCTCATTAGCCAAACCTCCATTCTATGTAGGACAATGGAAACGGCAATAACAGGCAAAATCGTTGAATTCCTATCGTCTCGGAACTTGATCAACATTTCCCAGCACGGAACAATTTCGAAACGTCGTTACTCGTTTTATTGACCATGGTAAGCGCTTGAGCATCATCTTCCTTGATATGCGTAGAGCGTTCTGTCGGGTATCACATGGAAAGCCTATATGGAAAGTACATACTTTTGTTATTTTTGGTAATTCACATTCTTGGAAAGCATCGTACCTTACTGATCAGATCAAACAGTCGGAATAATATACAATACTTCCACAAGTAGGAAGCTCACAAGTGGCGTGATCCAATGAAATGTTCTAGGGCCTCTTTTGTTTTTGTTGTACGTTAACGACGTTTTCGATGTCATTAAATAAGGCAAACCAAGTGTATTCGCTGATGACAATAAAGTTGTTTATGAGTTCGATTCAGGCAATGTCATTTGCGCCCTAACCGACATACACGCCGATCTGCAAGAGCTGGATAGTTGATGCAGCAATTGAAAAATCGAACTCTCATCCGCGAAGTGCAGCTGCATATGCTATCGGTGCAGTAATGCGCCAAATTACTTGATGTAGATGATGAAATACTATCCACCTGTCTCACCATCATGATCTAGAGTTACACTACTCGAGCTCCTTCAATTTCTAAGAACAGGTGCGACCTACTGTTGCAAAGCCCGTAAACTAGGAGGGCTAATGCTTAAATATTATATTCTGTATGAATCCAAAACCTACCTACATAAAACTAATATTCGCCCTCTATTAGAATATTGCTCATTAATATACTCCAACCTGAGAAAAGGTGACAGAACGGCGAGAAGAAATGTACGCGCTCATTTACGAAGCGCCTACAGAGATTCACTGGTGATCTTACATATTATGACCGCTGCTGAGAGATGAACATAAAACTCCTCTGGTTAAGGAGACCAGAGCGTAGCTTTAGCTTCATGTTTGATATGATCTACAAATTCTTCTTTACCTCAGACATCGAAGATGTACTTCAAGCTTCCGTCAAAGAGTAGACACAACACGTTACCGATCAAAAAAAGCAAGTGTAACACGCAAGCACGGAAGAACTCCAAGGGTTGAGAACGAAGTTCTATTACACAACACGTAGCCTCTACAAAAGGTAATAAACATGAAGTAAATTGGAACAAAGGAAGTTACAGTTAACCAAGGTCGTTGTGTTCTTGTTCTCCTCCGGTAATTGAGCAGGAAAGGTGCACTGAAAGGCAAGCGGGAGAGAGTGCCGTTATTGCAACGATTCAACTTTGGACGCGCGCCAAAAGAGTTTCGATTCTTCTCTACACACGGACTAGCTTAAGGTCAAATTTCTTTCTTAATTGCTACGTAGTTATGTGAAACAAGTTACCACAGAATCTGAGAAGGTGCAACTCAAAGGGTGTATTTCGTACCCTAGTTACCAGGGAATTTAGAGTGAATAAAGTGAGGGACATGCTCAAAATAGACGTGTGTAACACAAATTGTTCAAGGAATAGCCGAGTGTCATATCGCAAATGGCAAAATTCTTTGACTCGAAGTCAATCCACCACTACTACGTTTTTATTCCTAAAAGAACCTTTGTCAATACTCCTAACTGACTCTCATTTTTCTTCGGATGCATCAACGAACAACGTACGAAGTAGTTACCGAAACCTGTCGATATCACTCAGCTGCCGCATATGGTTGAACTGCTGAAACATCGACTCGTTAACACTCCTTATGAACGGATTGAATACAAATCCTACTTGACCATCTAAGTACAAATTAATCTGAGTAACCACACTGTCCGTCTCGCACTATCGAGGTATAAACTACGGTTTTGTTTTTGTTTACTTATGACTCCGTTTTTCTCTCCTATTGTAATGTCAAATATTTCTGCTTTCACGTAGGCGACAGCGCAGAAACAGAGCGCGTCTCGTTGCACAACGCTACAAATTCTTGTATTTCTCGAACGCATGTAAGCGACGATGAACCAGAAAATTCTTCTCAGAACTCTTTCACATCGATACCACAAGCAGTCATGCGTTTTGGACACTTCCCCTGTACAAACTGATCGATCGGTCTTTCTTGCGCAGAAACAAGACATGCTATTTCCTTAATAGATATCATTAATATTACTACGCTTCGACTTCCACAACTTTTATATTCCCCTTAACTTCATGGTTAGCTACGACTGGCCTGACCTCCTGAGGTGACGAATTGGAGTTTCCAACGCTAATAACTGTACCCATATAAGGCAGTTCAGTTCAGATGGGGACTGGAACGATAGGAGAATCCCGTGAGTGTTCCATCTTGAGTGGATTGTTGAGCCAGGAATTGATGAAGTGCACAGTTATTGATGGATCTAAAACGGAAACACCCGTATCGCACCCTGGCCAACCAGTTAATGTCCACGTTTCCTGCCCTAGCAGTCCCTGCTGTGGCAGTCACGTGAAGTAAGCAAAGGATAGGAAGAGAAATCGAAGGTACAGAATAGGAAAGTGCACTTAAATAAGAAACTAATACCAATGCGTTAAAAAAAGTAGAGAAAAGAAAATCGAAATACGAAGATGCGAGTTACTCAGGCAAATGGAAAGGTTTCGTGTTGCCACCCAAGAGCGTCAAGTTGCCGCTCAAACCCCTTAACCGTAGATTCCCTGATAACACTTTCCGGAAGCATGTTCCAGCGGTCCATAACTCGGCGTGACAGCCGGATTTCCGCCCTAATCCGATCGGACCGCGGTTTGTCCAGCTTCAACGAATGACCGCGTAGAACAGACAATCAAGCGGGACTGAATAGCCAAGATAAATCTGGACCAACCTTCCCAGTCAAGATACGGTAGGTTAGGATTAGGTCTCCTCTAAGCCTTCGGAAGTGCATTGAATGCATTCCCAAACTAAGTAGACGCTCGGGGTACGTCCGTCCCCGTACTCCCTCGACTAACCTAGTACCCACTCGTAAAACCCTCTCTAGCTCCATTTTGCCCATGACGAGGCAGGGCGGACAAGCCCGGACGCAGTATTCCAGATGAGGCCGAACGAAAGCCGAGAACAGCCTCGTAAAGATGCCGCCCGTCAAGACTCCGAAAGAACGTCGGATTAACCACAACATGCGGAAACCTCTGCTTGCGGCCTTCTTCCAGTTGTCACCGGAGTGTAAAGCCGAAGAGTGTATGACGCCTAGGTCAACCTGGCTAGATACACGAGGGAGTTCGACCCCACCGACCAAGTACTTCGCAGGAGGACAACCTCCCCCAATTCGAAGAACGGAGCACTTTGCCTGATTTATGGGCAGTAACCATAAAGTAGACCAGTCCCAAAGCTTATCCAATGCTCGTTGAATAGCTTCTGAACCCCCAGGAACATCAACAATGTTCCACAGCTTCAGGTCATCAGCAAATAGCAGCGATGGTACCTCAAGCTCCGCGGGTAGGTCATTTACATAGATAGAGAACAACAGCGGTCCAAGGACCGAGCCCTGCGGCACGCCGCTGAGAACAGACTGCCTAAATGATAGGCCCCGGCCTACCCTTACACACTGTTCTCTACCCTCCAAGAAGGCAGTTACCCAATGAAGGGCGCGGCCAGATACCCCGTAGGAGGACAGCTTTTGCACGAGCCTCAAATGGGGTTCCTTGTCAAATGCCTTCGAAAAGTCGACGAAAAGCACGTCCAGTGTGTGGCCGTTATCCACTGCATCCGCCCAATTTTCGCGAGCCACCAACAGATTCGTCAGACACGAAAATCCCTTCCGGAATCCGTGTTGTACATTGCTAAGTAGATTAAATATATTCAGATGACTCTCCAATGAATCTCTCACCAGTTTCTCGAGGAGTTTGACTACTACACTCGTCAGACTAACTGGCCTGTAATTTGCAGGCAGACCCCTGTCCCCATGTTTGAAGATGGGACAGATGACAGCTTCCTTCCATTCGGAAGGCAATGCACAACTGGCAAGCGATTTCCGAAACACGATAGTGAGCGGTCCACTTAGTTCCGTAGCCAACTCATGCAACAGTTTCGGGTGAATTAAATCAGGCCCAGAAGCCTTAGAAGGGTTCAGCCATTGTAACAGCCTACGAACTGCAGTCTCCGCTACAATAAATTCAGATAGTTCTGAACTCTCTGGGGTCCTGCAAACCAGCTCAACGCCTGTCAAAGAGGTTTCCCTTACAAACGCTGCCGCATATTGCCCACTGAGTACGCAGGCCTTGTCATAGTCCGTAGGCGCATGAGTACCGTCATCACGCATCAATACTGGAATTGACATGTTCGAACCGCAGAGCCTTTTGACATAAGCGAAGTATCTTTTGGATTCTCTGAAGCTTCGTCCGCTAACCCATTTTCAAAATTGAGCCGAGCATGCCTTAGGTGTTGCTTACACCTATTTCAAGCCTTACGGTATCTGTCATAAGTATCGGTGGACGGAGCATCTCGGTAAGTCCGCCAACATCTAGACCTCTTTGCGAACAGATGCCTGCCAGTGGGATCTATCCAGGGCGGCTGTGCTCGGGCCTCCTTTCTCCTTCTGACTGGGATGAAGGGAGCAGAGACCTCTGTGAGGTAGGACTTAAATTTATCCCAGGCAACCTCGACAGTATCGTCGTCTGAGATCTCACAATGGAAACCAGAAGCCTTGGATCTCATTGATTGTCTGTTTGCCATATATTCTGGCGAGATTTAGCAGTACTCTGGTAGCGTCTAGACAGAGTACAACTGAAGAGCAAACAAACATGATCACTAGTACCCAGTGGAGGTCCGTAAGTAATGTCATCAACAAAATCGAGTGACTTAGCGAATACAAGGTCTAAGATAGACGGTACTTGGGCGTCCATGTACCTAGTGGGAAGGTCAATGAACTGGTGCAAAGATACTTGGAGCGTAAGTTCAAGCAGATCAGCGCCGAATGTGCCTGACGCTGAGTCGCAAGAAAGATCTGCCCAGTAAATCTCTGGGAGGTTGAAGTCGCCCATCACCAAACACTTATTTGCGGACTGGGAGCGAATGAATTCAAGTACCTCTTTGGATACGCTCCCAGGGCTTCTATACACAATTACAACTGTAACCTGAGCCGAGGATGTGCTAATAACAGCCGATACAGCTTCAACAGTTTTGTCTGCCGACTGAAATAAGCAAGTCTTCAAAACGTCAAGTTTACAGCTCACATAAAGAGCGACGCCCCCTCCCTGTCGGCCAGCAGAGCGATCGCATCTAAATAGTGCGTAGCCAGATAGATGTACTTCACCATCCGTGATGTCCTGAGACAGCCACGTTTCAGTGAATGCGAGTATATCGGGATGAGACCCATCTACAAGCAGACATAACTCGTACACCTTATTCCTTAGGCTGCGCACATTACTTAGCACTATCTGAAGGTTTTCGTTAGATCGAGACCTGGGTCGTGCGCTACCAGAATGGGCAGTGGTAGGGCGGAAAAGGACCGCCGGCTGACCACCCGAAAACCCACCAACCGGAGACCTTGTTCACCGGCCGCTCGCCTGCTTTTGAGGTCCTTGATGGCCTCCCTTAGCTTCAGCTTATCGGCTAGCGGAAGGTCCGGCTGAACGCTAATATTTGTACCTTTCAGCTTAAACGCAAACCGCATGAGAGCATTGCGTTCCTCCGGGGTAGAGAGTACCACACGAAGTAGCCGCGGTCGCGGGTTTGGTACGTTAACTGGGACGTTCCCCAGTCTAATCAGCTTCCTGACAGTAACGCCTGGAAAACCAGGCGGAAGAAGCTTCGTTACGCACATTTTAAACCATTGAAGGTCGTCCAACATGCGATCAGCAGGAAGGACAGCAGTAGATTCAGCCGCGTTACAGAATATAACGCTACTATCCATTGTTATTGGTTCCCTAGCGAGAAAAGAGTGTCGGGCTCAAAAGCACTATTGATCCTACGAGCTAGATGGTCTGACTGTCCACGCTATGTATACAGAAGAACGGCCCTGAAGATGAGTTACACAGGTAATGGCTTATCGGCTTTAAATGCCACAGTGGCGCATGGTCAGATAGGCATGGAAGTGAGGGTGAAACCGATTGAAAGAATAATCCACATGGATTAGGTCTTCAGGAGAAGGTTCCATGGATAGTGATATTACTTTGCTTGCATAGTTGGACTTATCTGCATTGTCTTTGGACAAACCCTCAACCTTCCCGTAAGAGTTAACCGATAAATTAGCCATGCCCGCAAAAAATTACTTTGTGAACCGCTTTAGAATTTCGAAAGATAAAACATTTGTTCTCTGCAATTCCGCCGTACACTAAGAATAGTAACATCCAGTTGGACTGTACCTCACACCGACGAGGAATATATCGTTTTTTCATTCGCTACGATATTGCTCATGCAAGAACATGGTACTTCCTGTACATACCGTATCTGTGCCAAATAAGGAAGCAACTTCTAACAAAGATAAATATATTTATTATTGTTTGTGGCAGTAGTATTGCTATTAATATTGATGACTGCCTTGGCCAGGCATCTGACAATGCTGCATTTATAGCAGCCTACCGATTGGGTGTCTAGAGACGCATCTGTGAAATCAACCGAAAAGCTACATTTGTACCATGCGTAATCCAATGCTTTAATCTGGCTCGCGTACGTGCAGCTTCTGCGACGGGGCAGTCTGTTACATTTTTAATACAATGGACCGGCTATTCTCGTTCTTTTCTGTATGTGCATACCGCTGGAACCTCAGGATTCAAGTGACCGGTTTAAGTATCAAGCAAACCGTAGAAACTAGATGAAGTAGACAAGTCAGGTCAAGAGTTCACTATTATGCACCCAGAAAGGGTGAATTTTCAGCTGTAACCCACGCGCGATCAAAACGGTACATAAATACAATATAATACATGCAAAAATAATAAAACAAACGGCAGCTAAGACGCTGTTTCACTTGTGGTACACCATCACTTACCTAATTTTCTGTTTAGTTCTTGAATGATAATATTCGGATCAAGCAGAGATCTAACTAGATAAGGTAGGACAGCTGAGCCGTAGGCCGGCGTGCGGGCATATATGGCTCCGTAGTTTCGTCACGTTGAGGAGCTACATTTGCAATTGGATAAAAAGTCATATCAAGGATGACTGATATCGATGAGTATTTTCGAAGGGTTTTACGCATGAATTAACATGAACAAATACAATGTGTTAAACTAAGGTTGGTTTAGTAGTGTCAATGCATCGAGATATGTGTTTCAGCAACCTATGAAGTCGTTTGAAATGCTTGCCTAATAGGCCCAGAAAGATCACAGGAGAACAGTAGGTCCAGTGTGGTAGGACGCATGCAATGACGAATCACGGGGTCAACTGGTGGGAGACTGAGGACGAACGAAGACGTGAGGCATAAAAGGACAGTCGCCTGACTTTGGTGAATACTTCATACACGTGAATTGGCCACGCGAAGTCATGGCTCAGTATAATTCGCAGATACTTCACCGACGTCGAAAAGACCAGGCTTTCACCACAGATGTGAAGTTGGGGACAGTCAGCGACGAGTTTCTGGTAACGATTTGCTTTATACAGCGAAAATAGTACAGCATTGCACTTGGAAGCATTCAGCGTTAAGCCGCGGGAGTTTGACCAATGCATGATTTTATCCAAACAAAATTGTGGCATGGTCGAAGAGGCAGTCGTTGTGAACGATGTGATAAGGAATACCCGGAAAGGGTCCATGATATGGTATAGCTCACGGTGGAAAGAGAAAATTCGGCCACAAGACCAGTCGCATCCTTAAGTCTCGTCTCGGAACAGTCGTCTCTGTTTATTTTGCTTTTGAGATTGTGGAGATCAGTTCTCTCATGAATCAATGTTTCACATCAACGGCTTCAAACAAAAGGGTTGTATCTGCAGCGAAGTTTTGTTAAGCTCACAAAGTTAAGAATTTGCCTTCTTCAGAACAGCTAGAATTTAGTGGACAGTGCAATGAATGCATCTAGAAAGCTCTGCTCTGAACCGGGGATAAGCATGCAGCGTCAACGCGTCAAAAATGGAATTTATGGCGAGGAATCTTTTGACACTTCGATGGAATTTTATGCCGAATTGAAATGGAAAGTGCTGTCTGTCATTGACAGGTTGATTGAGGAAATATGTCGTAGCTTTTAGCAACTTCATGACCTTGCAAACAAAGATGCTTTCCTTACGCCGTCGAAGCTGCTGGATGATAACTATCACTGTTCGCTAAGCGAAATTGTGGAAGATATAACAAAAGAGGTGTTCCCTGCCGAAAGCAAAATTGCAGCATTTTGTAAAAGCTTCAGAAAACAAAAAGTGGTGGAGGCTTTGAACTTCCGAGCTTCATACACGGATATCATGTTGAGGAATTTGCACCAAATATTGTGTTCTTGCTGCTCATCTTTCTTACCTGGGGTATTAACATTGCCATCAGTGAGCGTTCTTTCTCCAAACTCAAGCTTATAAATAGCTACTATCGATCAACATTGAGTCAGAGAAGACTCATGGATTTGGCATTTTTCTCCATAGAGAAGGAACTGGCCGATGGACTGAACTTTGATAGTATTACCCATAGTTTTGCCTTATGTAAAGCACAAAAAGTGTCTTTTACATGTCGTACACGAATATTGTAAGAGTACAAATGTCTGCACTTGTAGTAGAACATAAAATTGACTCCTTGATTGTTGTTCCCTGAAAAGGACTAATTTAGCCCTGTTCGCAATTTTGAGGGTTTACGATTTATGACTGCAAGAGAGGAGCGAAAATTTTATGACCGACCCGGGCGGCAAAAGTAGCTGCTACACAACTTATTCGAAATAATCCCTAAGCAAAGAGGAAACAACTGATTGGATCTACAAGATCTGCTGTCAGAGATGTGGTAAATACCATGTGGAACCCACAGGAAGAAAGCTTGGTATGAGGCTACATGAACACATCCAATCCATTCGTCGGTACGATCTGGAGGTCAGGATTTTGGTTTTGCCACATATGAACATCTGTATGATGCCTAAGTTCGCCAGCCATAAATACCCTCACCGCGTGATCCACAAGCGATTGCCAACCTTCAATAGTTCGGCGTGATGAGTGACACTACTCATCCACTTGCATCGCAGTTTATAGAACCTCAAGAGGTGACTGCAGAAACTAGGCAAATTACTGCTATTAAATAGCCGGGAATTAAAGATTGCGTAAAGAGCAGTCTTTTAATAAAGTACTTCAGGTGCCTACAATTACACTGCAGAAGTGTGAACAAACAATGAACAATGATTTATAACGGGTAAAAAAGCAGGTGCTTGACATGTCCCGTAGGGTGGT